TAGAGTTGAAAAAACCGCTGTTCATGGAGCGATGGAGAAGAATTTCGGCAATCGCCACTTGTGTTGCCTGGTTTGAGTCGCTCAGCTGGTGCGGTACCCATTTTCCGCACCTGTTCTTCTTGCCAATTGCCAGCAAATGCTCATGGATTGTAGAGTTTGAGCAGCCAACATATGTTGCCAGTTCTCGGGTGGTTTGGTGTGGATCCAATTTAATGACAGTCTTCAACACATGGATATCGACGAATCAAGGCCGACTTCCATGTTCCTCGTCCTCCTAGCTTTCATTACCGTTTTTGAAACGCCGATACCATTGTCGACACTGGCTTTCTGACAGTGCTTTTCCGCCGCATACTTCAGATGTGGCACGATGGGATTCAGCAGCCGAATTTCCTTTCTTGAAGTTGTACCACATGCAAGCCCGCAGAAGGAATTTTCGGTCAAGCACCTTTTAAACTTTTTTCTTCTTAAAAAAACGAAGTAGACATAGACAAAAGTATATCAAAAGATGTGCAATGAAAATCTCTTCCGAATAGACAAAACTGTTCTGAAAAATTTTTTATAGTAGGGGAGAAATGAATGGACGAAGTTAGCGCGCATTCCTTTCCGAACAACCTAATATTTCTCGAGTGAAAGTCAGAGTCAGAATGGGAGCATATCTTTCTACATTACATATTCAAAACTGTGATCTAGTCCAACGTAATATGCAAAGGGAATGACTGCGCTGAACAACTACTGCGAATACATCTTTCCGGCTACTGTAGCCTTGTAAGATCTTATCACTGCCCGAAATCACTGTAAGAAAATGAGATTCAATCCAAACATTCACAATCGAAGCATGAAGAGAGGAGCAAATAGGGATGAGCCTTAACTATATGTGAAAGCCCAATTAGGAGGACTAAGACAGTGCACTTTCAGAAGCGGCTTCTCGCGGCTCCTGGAGGTACACAGCTATCCAGACAATCTGAGTATCACATACCTTCTAAGGCGTCCAATTTTCTAATGATACTGCGCAATAGCTGAAAGGGAATGTGAACAGATTCAAAGCGAGTCGATCACCGATCTACCGGGAAACACCGTGTCGCGACCGCACGCGCATATAGTGCCGTTTGAGTCCAAGTGAAGTGCTAAATTTATGATATATAACTTTGTCTATAGCAAAAATCGACTTTAACTTCTATCGACTGCATAGCAAAAATTCGAAGGATAGCATAGCAATAAAAGCTTGATCGAAGAACTTCGCAGACTAACCCTCGACAGCACAAGCCTTACTGATTGATCCAAAATTGATGACAACATATCACCTGCCCATGGAAACTCATTCTTAACCAGAAATATGCACACTCTGAAAATAGGTCCAAATTACATGCCGCTCTTTCATTTCTGGAAGTATTAGAGATAGTGTTGCCTTAGAAGATCTCGAAATTGAAATGGAATTCCAGAAGTCGAGTGTAAGCAAAACCTCGTGGCATCATTACTTTGGGTTTACAGTACAGCAAGAAATCGGAGATCAGCTAGGCCGGACGCGTAATGCGATTTTCCGTTAGACCAGGAGGGCTATTGACTGCACCTTGTGGGATGTCAAAAAAGTAGCCGGCAACTTTATGGTCAGACTTCTTCACGCAAGCTCTAAATGAGAGAAATGGCTGCTTTGTGTCAGCCAAGTGAAGAAGGTGTACTAGAATACAGTGGCCTTCGCGACAGGGACGAACGGAGAGTCTGCTCAAGCGAATCGATGATCAACGGGACGACAGGTGATGTGCAGTACGAGAACAAGAAGGAAGCTCAAAAATGAGAGCAAGATGGATGGGTGGGGAAAGATGTAGGGAGTGAAGTTTACTCAGCCTCAAGCATTCAAATGGGAACCTAAGATGGGTAGGAGCGACAATACCAATATCTACCCCGAGATTGGGTTCCACCGCCTCCTACATTCCATCTTCGTTCTCCTACCCAAAACACGATTCTAATAATGCCAATTATAGCCCCTATATTTTTGAAGAAATCAAACAAAGATAAATTGAAGTGAAATGGAATGTTGATCCCATTAACTACATAACAGCATCCCTTGGTGAATCATAGGATCTATCGACACCTCACAAGCACTTGAGAGACAAGTCTCTCATGGTCAGTAGCGCAACGGCCACCCTGTTCGATGGATTGGAGTCGAAACTCCAAGTAGGGAGGGCAAGCGAGGACGTATAAGCATTGGGAATGTCAAGACGTCAAAGCTTCAATATTGTGAAATAAACAGTACCCCAGGACTTTCAAGTTGGTAAACCTGCATGTACAGGATCGTGCCTTCTCATGTTTAAAATCTTCCCTTGAGGATGAAGCCCATGTGAATTGCACGAAGCTCGATTCTTTGATTGTCTTCGATGGAACTGCGCTAGGAAGAACGAACTTTAAACGATCCGCAATAATGCCATCAAAGTATGGCACAAAAGGATGGCATTGAACGCGACACAAGTGCTGACCCTTAAGCAATGAGCCTTCCACAACAAAAACAAACCTGAAAAATTCACTGCAACCGATTTAGCTTATTGAGTCTCTCATGGCATTTCAGGCGATTGCAAGTCATAGGTATTTGCCTAATTACCCATGTTGGTTGAGAGTTAGAGCAACTCGTAATAGTTTAAGATAAAAGCATCAAACACATTACCGAGGAAATAACAGAAAAACGTAAACCTATTGATGGATGTCTGGAACAGATGAACTGGAGAAACGGATGAATATTCAATGTTGATTTGTATCATTAAACTCTTTTTGTAATTCCCTTGATAAATGCTAGGAGATACAGCTGCTCCACTGACTTAGCCTCTTTACATAGTTCATAATCTCCATTAAGCTGAATGAAAAGTTGAAGGTAAAAGGAACCTTTACGATCAGTGTTGCAACTATTCGACACCTGTTTATGTACACAAATGCTTCGTACTCATCGGTTGGCTGCTTGATCCCTTGTATGGGACCCAGAGGAATGAGAAATCCGGTCATCCTCAATGAAGGGACAAAACAACAACCATTGCATACCTTGCTGAAAGGCTTAAAGAATAAAATGAATAAAAACAAGTAAACACCTTCAAAAATTGCTTTTCCCGAGTACCTCATGAGCTTTGCAACAACGAAGTGCACATGCATATGACTCATTTCCTAGGTGATTCAACTCGCATCGTAGGGAAAAATAGTTGGGCTTTTGATTGGAACCATCTCACGAAACCACTTTAATCTCATATGCCGTCAATGTCCCACTTAGAGACTTGAACGGTATGTGGTAAGGGAATCATCGTGTGAACATGCCAAGGTAGGCATTCCCAAGTAGCGAGTGTCACAGAGCGTGGATAGGGTATGACACACCAATTCTACTCCCTTCTACCCTTAGCCCACTAATGATGGTTCACATCTAGCTGATGAATACTTTCAAGTCGACAAAATACTGTTACAAACACCTTATGCATTCAAGCAGCTCTGATAATTTACTTTCAAAGCCTTCTACGGGATTAGCACGGGAGCATGACATGGCGTATTCTAAGAGAAGTCTCTTGATGCGATGAGTTCATTTGACAAAATAGTACCCCATCATTCTCCCAACATCATTTCAAAGGGATTTGGGCTGCTGTCAAGAGGCAAGCCTCTGGTTGTAATAAAGACCAGCTGGTCAGACCTTGCACTGTCCTACTATTGATCAGTTCGTTTCCGAGCCCTTTCTTAGCTTCTCCAATGTTCACTTTCCTTCATTTATTGCCACAGTACCTTACGAAACAATATAACAATTGATGCATTAAAATGATTTCATTTCTAAGTCTCAAAATCGCCAGTTTTACCTTTTGTTATCGAATTCTCGCTGATTGCTTCTGAAGGGAATAAGTTAAACTGCCATAGTTCCACTTAATAATGAGCACTCAGTTGTTGACTAGATGACCATTCAATTAGTAATTATGCCTGACTGGTAAAGGCGATTGAAATGGTTTTATTGGACCAGTTAATTGCCTGTCCAATTGCTCAGCGATTTCAAGCCACTGCTCTCATTTCGCCCAACGACATAAGAATTATTAGTTATGATGGNCTAATTCACGGCTTGAATAGGAAATCCCATGATGATTAAAATCTCGAAGGGTTTTCAAGCGATATATGAAATCATCGTAATCGAATTGCGGATTTAGGGGATGCCGCCGCCGGCATATATGCGTTCCGGCTCCGAGACGTCATTTCCTTCAGCTTCGGATAGCCGGGAAGATTCAATTCATGTGACTGGACTGAGAGAGAAACGTCTCTATGCAGTTATCGGATGCCTCGTTATACTGTCGATTTTGGCACTTGCACTATTAACGGTCATACATTATCTTTTATTTTTTACTAAAATACGGTTTTGTTACTACCATTCTTAACAGAGGTGCCGTTGTGTTTTCTTGGGGTCTGGATCTTCCTTAGAGAAGAGGTTCGGATCTTCCCTTTGAGATATTTCTTTTTTTGCGAATTGTTTTTTTCACACAATTATAGAAAAGAGCCAAGGAAGTTTCTAGTAACTAAAAAGGAAAAGTGGTGGAAAAACGTTTACCTGTACATTAAAGATCATCGGGTTCAAGCGCCCATTGTCATAGCAGGAGAAGAAATCTTTTGCAGCTTTCAATGTAATCCTAATGATGTCAAATTTATTTGTTTCAGGTTAATATAATGATAGTAATGTCCCTTCAAATGACTCACCATGGCATGCGATTCTTACGATTTCACACCATTCACGATCCTCATACGGACACAACGGAAAAGGTGAGGATCTGCTCTAGTAACCCTACTATTTCCTAACCAAACACAAACAAACAAACATCTTTAAAGATTCGCTGTCTGCTCACTCTGTGGAGATTGCATGAACAATTTCGTTCGTCAAAAAAATAGATCGAAACATACGTAAATGGTAAAGTACTAATCATAATATCAAGTTCCCGGAACACTCTTTAATAAATATTTATTTCCTGTTCCTTGGCATTATTTAGTTCCTATCTATTTGAAGAGAAATCCATCCACTCGGCACAGAGCGATTTCGATTTTTGCCTTCAGGGTTCCTACCGGTACCGTTCTGTTCCAACTGTCCCAACAGAATCTCATAACCACCAAACTGGCGGGGTCCTTTGAGCATTGTTTTTCAACATTTCTTCGAATAATGTTGACCTCATGCTCATCCAGCATACACAGAGTTCAAATCCTTGAAGTATACGTTAAAACAAGAAGTATTCTTGGAATGAAAAGATAGCCGTGCAATTGTAGTCTTGTTGGTTTCCATGCACATATTTACTAGCCATGACGCTCTCGCCATCACTACCGTGCCACCCATTTTTTTGTGCCCAGCTCTCGAGTGAGTCGTAAGTCGTTACAAAATCTGTTTCTTAATGCTGGGCTGTGTCGCTTTCTTTTTTTTTGGACTACGTCTTTTCATAAAGGCAGATGCAATCTGCTGCAAAATTGAGCCAGTTGATGTTTTTGGTTTTAGAAAGGCGCCTGCGACGTTTTTTTAATTATCTACGACACGCACTTGCTCTTTACGTGCTCTGACTGGTGAGAGCTCGGGTGTGATGTGGTTGGAACGGCCCAAGTCGACTTCTTCAATGGGAATATTAAGTAAATAAGCATCCTTACTATTTATAACCCACAAGTTTGGTGTTTCTGTGTGTTTGTCTGTGACAAATTAGAAATTTCGGCATTACTCGAAGAAACTCCATGAAGGTCATCAAGTTTGGGTAAGTTTGGACCTGGAAAATGATCAAGAGCACATATGAGTTCAGCGGATCCCCGTCTACCAAGTTGACATGCGTCGAAGTGGATGATGTCAAAGCGGACGGAAACTTCTTTGGGAATGGGTGAGCAAACTAGGCGAAGATTAAACAATTGCGGCGGGAGGAGCATTCTCGAAGTGGGCGGTATTTTCTACACATATCTGCAATCTCTATCACAGAAGCCTGGAGTCTAGAAAAAGTGCTGGACTGAGCCAATTCCAAGCTGGAATATGCAGGAGTAAACAAAACAAAGCTCCGCTTGGTGTGGCAGAGCGGGTTTTCCAATGGAAGGCTTCTAAAGAAATCCATAACTTTGTTCAAAACCGTTCTAGAATCCGAAAAAAGTGATTAGAGGTTCCACAAGGAGGAGTTGTCAAATCTTGATAGTGGGTGGGGCCTGTTCGTAGGTGGCAAGTGTGAACTCCTTCCACTGGGGCGGGTGTGCGCAAAAATTGTTCCCTCAGATCGATTAGGTTGATGCATAATTATTGCAGATTCTTTTCGCAGCTTCTTTTCTCTCGATAAAATTAAACTTTTGAATTCGGGATTTTTGTAGAAATAATCTTCTCGCTTCCCTTAACAGAAGATATCTAGGAAGTCATTCTCATATACGCCACATTATGCTCTACTACTTCGAGATATGTTGGAAGGTGGCACAGTCATAAAGTGGTCTCAACGAACTTCTCGGAGATAGAACAGTCAGCCAAAGCCGAATGAGGAATGGAATCTCCTGCGGTAGCCCTATTCACCAACAGGTACTCCAATGGATTATCACGTTGATCGCCCGTTGAAAAATTGGTTAACGAGCAGAACTTTCGACGAAGTGGATGGCTTGATGGCCAACGTCAAGACGTGATCGTCTCCAAGGATCGAAATTTCTTCGCTTGTGGAATACGACCGCCTAGCAAATGGGAAGCAGTGCTTCACGTAGATGGTGGATATGTTCTCGAGCAATTATTTGAACACGTCTTTGCTAGATTTTTCTATCGTTTCATCAAATAAAATTCGCTGAAAAAAATCCGCAATAACTATGCATCAACCTAATAGATCGTTACACAGGCGGTAAGATGGGAATACGAATGGCAGGTGGCAGGTGTAGACTTCGGGCTAGGGTGAAGGGGAGGAAGGGGAATCTTAAATCGACAATTTCATCTGGAAGAACTTCAGATTAGGCACCACAAATTTACAGCTTCGCTCATTTCAATGGAGCGTACACGCGTGCTAAGATTCACGCCTGGAGCAATGAGACGCCACTATACTATATCGAGCTGTGAAGGAATTAACCGATAAGTCGCAGCTTCGTTCAGTTTAATGGTACAGTGTTCCAACTCCGAGGAATATAGACCGGCTCCTAATCAGCAATTCTTTTCTCATTTTGAGCAAAAATACCTGCCATGAACCAGTTAAATGACTCTAACCGATCCAACTAACCATGTTCCTAGGTCGTCGTCTGCATATATTCTCAGGTTCCAGTTGATCAGCCAAATTTTTCGTCATTTCGGATAAAAATAGACGTAAAGAGTCAGTAGAAAGGCCGGAGTACAATGAGGTCGCCGACCCTGATCGATCCCCCTTGCTTCTCGGCTGCATATGTCATGGAGTACCGAGGTTAAAACAATGCAGCAGGTAAAAATAGTACTATTACACAGTCAGTACCAACCAGTTAACCGTCAATTACGAAAAAAATTAAGGGGTTTCCAAAGTATTCCTAAAACTGCCTCCAGCGTTTCTTAACAGTCCATCTATTTCATTTAGATAGTGGAATTTGATGGTAACCACATTGATCTCGGGACAGTCGTCACAAACGGTCAGGTCGCTGGTTACAAAGATGAAGAGCTCAATATATACGGATCTAGAGTAAGTATTGAGCCTAGTTAATATTCACTAAAAGTAATAGCAGGCCAAATTGAGGAAAAACGTCCACACATGATTACTCCCGTGGTGAAATGTGTTTGAAGATGCAGTAGGAATTGCATGCCAGTGCCTCGTCCCAACACTTGGTAACTTGCAAGCTGGCAATCCAAATGATAGGCCTTGTTCGAAATCGAAGTAATAACATTCACCCATCTGAAGGAATATGAAATTCGAGAGAGGCCATAAAGGGTTGGTATCCGAAAAGGAAATCCTGCAACTTCACGGTGCTTCTTATTTCGATTGATTTTAGGCCCAAGTTATATGCAGTGTGGTAACAAAAACTAGGAATTGAGACGAAATTTTTTATGACTTGGCTCCTTCTGTAAATTTTTAAAATAAGTTTGTTACAGCTGCTCATATCAGGGGGCAAAAACGGAACTCGCCTCACAATTCAGGAAAATCGCTGCCGGCTCGAAAACACGAAACATTTCCAGGTAATCAAGGTTTGTTGAGGATCGCTCAAGAAATTTCGAAGTTTTGAAAACGTCCTAACTCAAATAGTGTTGGAATCGGGTGAATTTGTTTCAGGTGATCTCCACGAAGACTTCAAGACCAATCTTCAGCGCCCAGCATCCGGTCGTTTCAATTGACGAAAAAATTAAAAAGCTCTCGACAGCTAAAATTGTGACCAATAAGGTACCATTTTCACGATTTGGAATAAATCGGTCAAGGCGTGCACAAGATTCAAAAGTGTGCCATAAGCTTGGTGTCAGCTTGCTGACGGAAACTCTGATCAAAATCCCTAAAAGCCCTTGTAAGGTCTCAACTTGAAACAGCTGCGTTATCTATTCTACAATTCAAGCGATCAACGGTTTTTACCGTCAATTTAACTCATAGGTTAGTGATGAGGCTTTTCTCAGAGTCAACATATTCCTACTCTAGTTCTGCAGCTGTTTTTAAATATTGCCTGAACGTAGGTGATAAGGAGCTGACTGATGATTGGAAATTAGTTATTTGGATGTGATGTTGCAGATTCGCTCACCTATCGATGAAACACTTAAGATTGAAGCGGAGAACTTATCAATTCGAGGGAATGAGGGAATCCGAATGGAAGCGAATTCGGCAAAGTTTATTGGAGCAACATCCGTCATCTTCAATACAACAGTTCGTGGATTGATTATTAGCTTAATTTCAAGTTTAGCAAACCCTGGAATAATCACTCCCTCTTTTGCTGTTCTCATAGAGGGTGCCAGCGCTGTGGAACAGCGCAACCTCATTTCATTGATTTTGTTTTAGAGCTACAGCTTTCCGTGCAGGTAGTCGTCCCAAGTGCGGGAACAACAAATTACATACCCACATTTAAACTTGAAGATAAACTACTACTGATAACACAGTCCCGCACTTATGCAAGCTTCACATGGACCCTATCCCAATCACTTCTTTTAACCCCTACAAAACTACGCTACAGGTATAGGGAGTATCACTCTTTGTTAGTGTGATTTTTGCCCATGCGAGGCTACAACCACACTCCCTACTAACTGTGGCAGACTGTGTGCCGTTGCAGCCTATAGGCTGTTGAACTTGAAAGACAGGGTACCAGAGTTATTAAATAAGACATTCATACTTGAATAAAATGACCTACCTATCTCTCTGCTCCTAACAGATTTCCTATCTTACGAGTACTTTCAGCGTGATGGCTCAATACACTTGCGAGGGCGATTACTGTTCGACACAACGCGAGGTCTTCCACTTTCACCATCGCCGGCGTTGGCGGCATCCATCGATGCGTTTCGAGTATGTGTTTGTGGTGGAGCAGAGCAGAAGTTATTCCTCACACCAGGAAATAAACCCTGCGAATCAAGTAACGCTTTGTGTACATAAAAAGGATCTTCTAATAAATATTTATAATTAAGTTGTAACATGTTGAACATTTGTGACCAAAGGTTCTTCCACTTGAAAATTGACATATTCATGTCAACCTTCAGATGAGATGCCCCTTTCGACTACAGAGTCAACAGGATGAAGTGAGAGGCAAATTCAGAACAAAAAGAAAGCACATTCCTTCCAAGGCAAAATGAATTTTATGGTCTTTGAATGGTCAGCAAACAACAATTTACAAATACAAGCCTCTACGGAAAAAGGAAAGAAATAATACCCATTGCCCGAGCTTCAGAAGTTCAAATATTTTAATCTTTTGAGAACAAAACAACAGATTCTCTGTAAAGAATTCATTGTACACCACAATTTTTTAAGTTACATACATGAAAATCGCCTTCAGACAACTCTACTGGGTGTCGAAGGTGAAGCATAACTTTTCGAGTGGGAACTGTCATGGTGAAGCCGTTATCAGAGAACCATCCCGTGAACGGTTTCGACACTGCGATCCACGTATATGGCGAAAGGCTTGTGGCATTTATAGATAGCAGATATGTGAGATCATCTATCACACTGAATTCAGCGATAGAAACATCGCCAAACACGTTGAAATCAATCTGAAAGTGGAGGTACCATTCTTTTTGGCCGAGTGGTTCTATGAAAGTGAATCAAAACGCTCCATACCTCATAGAGTTTGCTAGGAAGGAGAACCGTCTCCGGAGCAAGTAGCCCACCAGTGCTATTGTAAAGTCTAGCTCGTATGAGGAAATCCGCATCTCCTGTTTGCCACATCGATCTATACCTGAACAGTGAACAGAACCTTCTATGACAGATCAGATATTACCTCGACACTTTAGCAACACCGGAAACGTAGTGTAAGAGAAATTTCCCTTGTCATTCACCGGAAATATGAGAGCAGCTCATTTCGAGCAAGAAGGAGTTGCGAAGCCTTGGCTCGAAACGGGCTTCGGAAGCTTTGGAAGCTTGAGGGAGAAAGGTGAGATATCATTCATTGGACCAAATCGTTCCCAGCAAATGGTCATGGAAGGTTGATTTCGGAACAAAAAGTCTTCCTATTCAACGAGCACTGATGTGCCGTTTCGTTTCGATTAAAATTCTGATTTGATCATTTCCAACTTGTAACAGCCTCCCTGAGCGTTGCCCATCTTTAAAGGTGAAATCATACTGTTTAAATCTCGCAGACCACTCACGTACTGTATGCTCCCCTGGAACACTGTCTATACAAACGTTACAAATCTGCCTCGTGGCTTGAACTGCGTCCTTACCCTTGTGGTAGAAGAAAAGCACTAGGTGCTGAAAATGCGCGCGATGGTTCTCCATTCTCACACGAGTCCTACACCGACAGACAATGTTTACAGAATCCCAGCATGATTATAGTGGAGCACCTACTCTATCAGAAAGTGTATAACTTTATAAGGTTAGGTCCCTGATGTTTCGTACAACAGATGACAAACTCAGGGTGTTCAAAAACGGTTAAAACTTTCCGGACAACCTAATACGACAACCTCCCTATCGACTGCAAAGACGACAAGGTCGCGGGAAAAGATCACGAAGATCCTCCTTGATCACCTGATGATAACAACGATGACGGATTGATCCCATCCTGAGAGGTAAACTCGCACTTTTCCATGGGTATAAAGGTCTTGAAGTGGAACTTCGCCCGCGACTCCGTGATTTCACCTGAGAGCTCCGATCCACAGCCTTCTAGTGCTTCAGTGCAGAGTGCAGAAGAGATTTCGCTCTGCACTAGAGCACTGCGAATTAGACCTTAAGTGAATGAAGAAATCACATAACACAACAGCGGCTTCCACAAAATAGCGCTGAAAGTGAGTAAGAACGGCTCCTTAGAGGACAGCTCAAAAGCAATTCATATGTCGATTCAAGGTTTTGAGTCGAGACGTGGCGTCGTGTAACACCACATCATTAGGACTACTTTTACCTCAGCAAACAGTTCCTCTATACTCGCTGATCATGTAAGTATAGAAAGATAATAATAAAAATATAAAGGCGATTACACGTTATTCAACTGTTTTTTTTTTCAAAAATTTCAGTTCATGTGTAGCAGCGCTTTGAGAGAGTGAGGAACAGCAAATGTTAGGACAGCATCCCCTCCAAAGAGGGAGGGCTCTGGTCAGATGAGTCATTCAACCACTCTGCTGAAAGTGCATGGGGTGTCAAAAATTTCTTTATACCACTGTGACTGTTCAAGTAAGCGGACACCAAAATTCGGTTAGTGGAAACGAAGAAGACTCGATGTAGTGGTTCCTCGATTGTGAGGGATCTAGGATAGTAAAAATTGAGCATAACATTGTTTTGTAAGCATTCAGAAGACATTTCGTGCAATAAAACATAACAAGCACATTCAGAACTCCAACCTTCAAGTTTTATGAGCCCTACACCCGTTCAACAGCGCCGTCGCTGCGCGTCGTAGCAGCTGCTGGAACTTGGTATGTGTTCGACACAGTGGCGTAACCCAGTGGGTAACTGGTTTCATAATTTTGTTTTCAAAATGGTTTCGCAAGTTTGGAACGTAGTCTTGAGATCAACGTTTGAATACACCTACGGCGCCATATATATCACATTGAATGGCCACTACGACAAAGTATCTTTCCCGTGTAAATCCCACACAGTATCAACTGTTCAACACATCATGAGACAGTTCAAGGAACTTTTTCTTAATATGCGTTCTCAGTGTCCGAAGGCTTTGATCAAGACATTTCTAATCACATCTGTTAACATCCTTTACTATAAAAACGAAGAAAGATCACTCACTGCGGAAGATCCACCTCCGTCGCGCTGATTGGAGCGATATCAATTACTTTTCTTTGACTGAAAACCGAGTCAAAGCCATTAGTCCATGCAAACATATCGATTTGCACCGTTGCATTCCTGATTTCCTCTGGCAGATCGTTCACTACCGTCACTCCCATATCATTCAGACCCAAGGCGTACTATAATGATAGATCATTATATGCTCGTAAATATTTGACTGGGAATGTTCGGTTAGAAGGTGGCATTCAAAAGCTGGTTCCAAGGAAAACTCTAACAGGATATACGTGATGGATAGGCAACAATGACGGGTGGATTGCCTGTAACAACCATTTGAAAGGCGCCTTACAGACATTAGCACAGCCATTAAGAAACAGCCGGACTCATCCAAGTCGTGGGGTCTGCAAACTGTTCCCACAAGTCAAAATTACGGAACTAATAAAGGATAAGACATTTTTGTGTCAATCAATCCCGTCGAAGAATGCGCCCTGCATTCGACTTTCATTTGAACATATAGTGGGCTAGTGAATGCGAATATGGCCTTCACAATGGCTTCCAGTGCTCCGATGCACAAACCGCAAGGAATAGAAAGCTGGATTCGTTTAAGCTCATATCGCGCGGGATTCGAACCCGTGACCTTGCGTGTGTTATGGTGCGCCACGCGCCATTCACCTACCCGCCACGTCAAAGATATTAATTCTTCAAATTATTACTACCGCAGGTACCATCAAATTTTTCCCAGTACTCAAGCCTACAACCTTCTCAACTCCACGACACTACAAATAAAACTATTCCGGTCAGTCTCGCTCGATGAATGAAGTGCAAAGCAAGAAGATCTGCCGTAATTTACTCGTTCAAAAAACCTAATAACTCACGATCACTACTATCAAAGGTGCCATGAATCGACGCGCTTCATAATGAGCTATTTTCCAGTTCATATCAAAGTCAATTGTTGACCAAGTTGGAGCAGCCCATACATCATTGAGCTGCCAGTATAGGGAGCACATTGTGTTGCCAAGTCCGGATGGTAACAGTAAATTACGATGTCTGGAAATCGCTATTCAAAACTGAAAGCTCAAACCATAATCAACGAGATTTACAACCTTCTATAATGTTCAGTTTGTATTTTGTATGTGATTGCCTGATTCGCTTGGGAGAAATATGCATATCGATCAACAAACTGCGGTGACCTCAGAAAATCGCAACGACTTAGATCGACAAGTGATTGAGTGCATTGAAATGGAATCTGAACAAATTCAAATCCAAACTTATGCAGTAAGACATTGTAGAACAACGTACTAACCGGAAAATGATTGAACACCATTAACAAATTGGTTAGTATACCACCCGGTTTGTGCTGTCGATGCACAAGCTGCTCCGATGTGTAAAACCATTCGGAAAAATTGATATGCTTCAACATAGTGCTTCTGAAAACTTGAATAATCATTTCTATAAATTGAAAACAGGGTTTTGATTTCAAATTACCTCAACTAGTTCTCTTACTAAACCATAAAGAAAGATTAACAGAGCACATTGCGATGAGAGGCGCCACACACTCACGCTTGCGTAACAACAAAGAACGCATCAAACATAAATCATTTTCTGATGTGAGCTCCACCTTTAAGAAATTGGCAATAATAGGCTGTAGTGGAGCATGATTTCATGCAAAAAAGTCTAGAACGCTCAGCTCACTGCGGATGAGTCTCCGGCTGACTTGTTACCTATTCCTAACCATGGCCTATTTTTCTCAGAGCGAGAACGCTTTAGAGCAAAATTGTGAACATGCCTGAGGCTCCAACCATCCCAAACTTGAGCTACTTGATCAAGTAAAACCAAATTTCGAGACGGACAGGGAGAGTTAAACGAATCCTTCGCAAGTAGTAAGTGACGATGACTTGATGTATAGAAAGATTTTGTAACACTGAGAACGTCTCCGGACTAATTATAGGATATTAATCTTAGCTGTGCCACCTCACTGCAGGCACCGTCCACTCTGGAGTTTTGACCTTCCTTCCTCCAACAGCCATATGCACTTGTTTTCGGATTCTAGAACATTTTTGAGAAAAGTTAAGGGTGCTTGATGACAGCTCTACCCCTAAGAACGCAGACCACTTCCCTTACATTTGACTTCACTTTCTTTAGGCGCCCCCAACCATTTTCTCAGCATTCTAGAACGTTTTTTAAAGGAAATAATGATCCTTTGACCTCAGTCCCGCCCAACTCACTGCAAATTACGCACACTCCAAGAATTTAGCCCCATCTCTTCTCCTCTATGATATATAACCACCTCTTCCCGCCTTTTAGAATGCCATCGGACAGAGTTGTGAATTTACAATTTTGTCCCTCTACCTTGCAAATCCCACTCACTTCGGAGATCATAGCACTTATCTTTTATGGCCTTTGACCACCCTCTCGTATTCTAGAACACTTTTAATGAGACTTATGAATTTTTACTGTTAGCCCCGCTCACTCAGCGCAAGCCCCGCCTAATTTGGGGACTCATTCTCCATCTGAAAGTCTAAGTTTCCAGAATTCTAGTACGTTTTTAAGCGGAGTTTAATGAATTCGATCTTACCTTCGTGCAAACCCGCGCGCTTTGAAAATTCGACCACATTTCCACGACTACCTTTAACCACTTTTTCCGCATTCTAGAAGTTTTGATTCTAGCCCGCCCATCCTGTGCAAACTCTGCCCACTTCAGGAACTCGACTACACATCTTATACTACCTCTACTACCTTTCCTTTATGTCCCAAAACGTTTCCGGAACAAACTCATGAATTATTGATCTTATCCCGCCCACTCCGTGTGAGCCCCACCCTTCTCAGGAACTTGACCACATTTCTCCTGCCATCGCTAACCACTTTTTCTCGCATTCTAGAACGTTTCCGAACAAAGCTATGTTTGGCCTTGGTCCCGCCCACCTTGATACAAACCCCGCTAACCTCGAGAATTCGATCACGTTCCCTATACTACCTCGAACCACTTTTTTCACGTTCTAGAACGTTTCCGAACAGAGTTATATTTATTTTTAGGGAGTAGCTTCCGATCCAAAAAATACCGCCCATGACCTCTACAATTGTTCACTCAAGTAATACCGAATCTCGTGACATACAGACAGGCATACAGACAGGGCGATAGCTGTATATATAGTAAGTATGTACTGGGCCTCTATTCGTCCCTCTCGCCAGCCAGCGTAGTTCAGTGGACTATTTTCGCTTGCCAGACACCACGCATGCCATTTCTCTCGTTCAGAGCTTTTAAGGAGTCCGACCACCGAGAGGGGGGCCGTATAGTATTCGTTGAACATCCCGAGCGATCAAGTCAGATACCGCCCAAGTCTCATCACAGAATCGCATAGTGTGTTCGGCCCAACCAATCATCTATTTCTTAGCGTTCGTGTCTCGGAGGTGAAGGATATGGGAACTCTCGAATGTTCTCTGCACATGGTGTATCGAGACGCTGAGTGTGGCACAAAAAGGACATAATTTTTTTGTTTCCTACAACGCACTATCTATGCCAATCTTTGATGTGACAGTGTCGTTCACGGCAACCTTTGGAGCTTCTAAGTCGTCTCAGGGAAACATCACGGGAAACAATTTTATCGTGATCTACGCCTGACGCTCGTTCCTTTCTGCTCAGCTCCGCATTCAGTTCGTTCATCATGTTGATTTTGAGTTCTAGATCCATGTAGCTAGATCACTCAGAGATAACCTCAACATTGAATATGAAGGCAGCAAATCAATCCGCTTTTCAAGAAAAAATTGTATTCATTAGGTCCAGTCGCAAGCCGATCTCTTCACTTACCCTGTTGTGTTCAGTCAGCTTTCGTTTTTGCTGCTGCATATTTGGTGTTCTAAAGGCGAAGCATGTTCAAAGCGTAGGCGATGTAAAAGGTAGCCGTCGATCTTCTTCCTTATGGTTTCCCCATTGACTCATGACGTTGTCAAGAGGGGTACCGAATAGTTCGAGCGAGACTGTTTTACCACACACTTTGCTATTTACACGTAGATTGTTTAATGCTGATCATGAAGTACTCGATGCATTGCTATGTGTTGACTACAACTACCCTAGTCTTGGACACCGCTCTTGTCCCAAGTATCGATAGCTTTCTTTAACGATAACTTCAACGAGATATAGCGGAATCTCCTACTCAAAGAGTCTTGCGACTGTATGGATGTGTTCGCTCGTATCGAAGCCCATCCGTAATCGTGTTTGTAGTGTTTGCTAGCATGGCGGTCCACCATCCAGTATTCTGGTGAGGATCACTCACGTAAAAGCTTGAAAAATAACGACAGCATACGATTTCTTCGATGACTCCTATTATCAACGAATCCTTCTCCTTCTTCTTGTCCAGCAGTACAAGAAGCGCAGTACAGTCTTGCTAATTTTTCACAAAGTGTAATTGTATTTCAATAGGTACAGCGTAAAAAGTCAAACCACGTTTTGACACTTTTTAACTCACGCAAATGGAAGGCTTTGAACTCCAAACTCCGTTGCGCATCGTGGTGTTAAGTAGGAGTTATCTCGCCAAAGGTCCCTTAATTCGTCGTAGAAGTGAATATCACCGTAACGTTGGTCGCCGGGATTTGCCGATACACCTCCTTCACTGCAAAAAATTGCTAATTATGAATCTCTAACATTAAAATTTCGATACTGACTTTATCGCAAAGGAGTTCTCAACTCACTCTTCAGTTTGCTGCCCATTACTTGGACTAGAAAGTAGGAATGGACGAGATGGATCTCCAGCTTCAACAAGAGGCTTTACAAGTCCACTATAGAGGCGTATGTAATCCTTGACTTGATCGTCTTCTGAGAAGAATGCTTTTAAGTCTCACTTGCTTTTAAAAATGATTAATGTAAAGCAATCGAATACATCTCAAATCAGTGTTTATGAGAAATGTAAATTTTTACGAGCCTGAAATAGAATACTGTGACCGATTTTACCAAAAACAGAAACAGCATCAGAATCAATAAAAAAACATTAAAATGTACGAAGAGATCAATCATCTAGAAATCTGATCGCGAAATCATAAATTTACAAGTCAAATTTGAAGAAGATTGATCTCGTTGTCGTAAAAACGATTTAATATGAGACAGCCCGACGATCGAGGCTTTGCACGCTACTATGTACAGGGTGGGCCAAAATTATGATTACACAGACATCACATCCCGAACACGAATAGAAAGCTAATAAAGCAAACCAACTTCAGAAGTGTTTATCACTAATTTCTTATCAAAATAGTACACTGAGACTGAAACGTGTTGCTTTCTGCTTTCACATAACACCAGAGACGACGATGGACGGCATTGACGGTGGCACGCAGCTAAGGTCATCGAACTGATCTCGGCTATTTGCAAGGCATTTTCGAGATTATTTCATTTCTTGTTTGGGCTAACGACCACACTGAGACATCCATGGGATTTAGGTGAGGGCTCCAGAGTGGCCACTGATCAAAAGTTATGAAATCAGGGAGTCCCTTTTACGAAATTTCTAGACAATTTCCGGCCTGTGTTCAGGAGCTTCATCCTGGCAATATGTCCGGTTGGAATCGCCAAAGTGTCCTACTGCGCCCAAAGTGCTCGATCAGCCCTCCAAATCTACTTTCACTCTTGAATTTACGAAAGGCACCTCTTTCACCGTGAATATCTTTTCGTCGGTGAACAGTATTTCCGTACGACAATTTTTCCGATGCGGCTAAGCAACTTTTGTGTGCCAACCTTTTCTTCTTTTTAGCCTGCTCACTGAGGAGATCACTTCCTGACCGTATTAAGGCCATGTTGTGCAGATGATGCTTCACGATTCTGCCTAGAAAAACTTCATGGAATATCCATTCATTTAGCTATTTTGGGCTTAGAATGAACTTCGCTGCTACGCAGACCTTCGCCCTGCTTCCTTAACACTCCCCCAAATATAACCGCAGGCCCCCTGGGTTTACCACTACTATCTGTAATTATTCTCAACTAGCGTCTTATGGTCGAATGCACCGCCCGCCTTGTTACGGCAAGTCGTCTGTACATGCAGCGTGCCAAAAGTGCTTGTAAATGCAAAGCGACGGTCGATTCACGAGGTTGTGACGCTTATTTTATTATCAAAATCTACCAAAAGTTCAGTATCATTGAGTAATCATAATTTTGGCCCACCCTGTACATGGCGAACTACGAAAACCATAAAGGATTTGGTCGCTAAAGCATCAAGGAACAACAAAAATTGAAAATCAGTACGCACACCTCCATAGTTTTCAACAGACCACCAATGCGATCTGATGGCCACTTCGTTTTCGTTGTTCCCGGCCCATAACAATATCGATGAATGGCGCTTCAACCGCCATATCTGAAGCAGCAAATAAGGAAGACAGGTTCCACTGTAGTCTACGACCGAATCAACAACCTGCTGATTCACTTCAGTTTCAACGCTTTCCAAGAAGTCGTCATCAGTAGGATAGAGAGCACAAGCGAACATCAAGTCCTGAAGATCGGTAAATGAATCAATACAAAAGTAACAATAAAAACAGAGTTAAGATACCATTGCGAACAGAATAGTAGCGAAGGAGAGGACTCCTAATCTCTGATTATAAGAGGGTGATCACACTAAGGCCTCCTTCATCCTATACGTGTGTAAAGTACTAGCTTTGTATGTTTGTTCGCATAAACTGAGAGGGCTAGTGTTACTGTTTATATTGATGTTCATTGTTCATTGGGATAAAAGTGGTAAATGTTCATAGTGACCACACACTTGAACTAAAAGACACTTTACTATTAAGTATTTCAGTCATAATGCGTGATATCCAGAAATGAAAGTTGGAGTTTCGTGTACACAGAGTATAAGACTTCCTACGTTCTCTTTGAACAAGATCATAGACGAGCTGTTGTGACGATGGAATGCACGCCTTAGCCCATCTGATAATATTAGGGTGTCCGGAAAGTTTTGAAAAGGTTCGACTGGTTTCTTCAACACAAATCAACTAGAGCAATAAACTCAGATCAATTATCAGTATTGTGGCCCTACTTAGCCACAGTTTCTCTCCATCAAACGGAGAGGGCAATGATACCACTTCTCCAAAATGAAGAGGAGCTCGACGCAGTTCATCCATCTACCACCTACTTGACTTCTCGATAGTTGGTTAATTTTTTCCCTGAGAGCAGACCAATGGGCTTTTGAAAGGGTGGTAGTCATGCGTGAGGTCAGGTGAATATGAGGGGAGCAGAGTAGTCAGTTTGAACAGTTTTTTCAGCTCATCCATCGACGTCCTCGCAAGGGTGGACGAGCATTACCCATCACGATTGAAAATTTCCTTGTAATCGGTGGAAAATGGGGACTCGAAACACCATCTCTCTCAGTTGTGAAGTGAATACTCTTGCGTTTACCGCAATTCACACTGGTAGGATCTCCTAGCAATACACCCGATTGAGCAGAAGAAGAACGAGCACATGTCTTTTTGGCGTGAGCGCCTCGCTTCTAAAACACACTGACTCGCACTCGAGCTCCTTCCACTCAGGGACTGCGCGACATATGCAGAGAGACCTACTTTGAGTGACTTTTGCGTAGAACGTCGCGGAAGATGGATTCGAGGTAGAGATAGTCTTTTCCATTTCCTGAGAGGGTGAAGATGACTGCTCCGACGGGAGGTCAGAACAGTATCAATATTTGAGGACAGCGGACGTTCGCCTCGAAAACTTCGTCGAAGCAAATCTTTTTTCACTGAAAGCGATTGTAGCATTTATGGTAAATGATGAGAGAGGGAGCACAGCTACGCATCAGTAACCATATCTCGCTACAAGCCTTAGTGTCGGAGTGACCAGTTTCTTAACGGTGAAGTAGGAGGCTGCGACTGGCTCGTCGAATGCACATCGTTTAGTCGATAATTGCTTATTTCCAACGACGACTTCAAATACCGATCGGTTGCAATATTGACCTATCAACAATTCCTCTCCCTGCTATCGAATCTATAGTTCTAGTTTAGGGCGTTCGCGAGCAACATGCTCTCGAAGTTGAGTGGCAAAATTTTCTTAAACTTTCCGGACACCCTAACATTATAAAAGATTAGTAACGGATAAACGAAGAATGGTTACAGTTGGCAGTAGAAGAAGCACGTCTAAAACCATCGTACTACAGTAATTCAAAGTGGTATCCTTAGACTTGGGAAACGATCGATCCTATCTCGATGGAACGAAATCACACGTCGCGCGCGATACAGCCCGTAGCGCTTTCGAGATCGACACGTTTGAACCGTGCAGACGCTTGGTGGTCCGGATTACATCACCACGCGCAGTAATTTCATTGCAACTTAGAAGGCGCCATTAAGAAATGAATGAGATCTGCTTGAGGAAGAATTAAAGTGAATTAGAATATAGCGTGGATTTTTTTCCATGAAAAAATAGAGGAATTATAAAATAAAGCTGTAAGGAGGTGAGTTGGCGAAGATTCCCTAGCAAAAAGGTGCAGAAGCGTTGCAGCACCGGTGTTGTATTCAAATGCATCCGTTACTATTGTTTTGATATTATGTTACTAACCAGGCGGCTACGCACGCTATTGCGTGCGCTAGGGGCTCTAGCCATGAGGAACGGAGCCACATGGCCTCTGATACTCATGATAGACCCTTATCATTTGAGCCTCTTCCAGGACACTCCTGTAGCGACCATCATTTTTTTGGGATGTGAAAGGGGGCTGTGTGTGGCCATGAAGAGTACTCCGATGTATCCAAATCATATACCTCTGCAGTCCACGTAGTCGAAGGGACCCTGTGTAGTTTGGGCTCAATGTGGCCGTGGACACCAAATTTGAAGGGGAAACCCCTTCGGGTATTTGTAGGGATTTACACGTCTCTACAGGGTATGCACCTGTGTGGCCGAGGTTACTGTAGAATTCATTTTATGAGGTCTGAAGTTAATGTAGTGCATTTGCTTCTGAGTAGAAGGGACTACTGCGTGTGGAACCACGGATAATAACTTTAAAAAATTTTTAGCCTAATTTTTGAAAGAGTGTAGTGGCATCCCCTGGTTGTACACCTATGTGGTCAGGGTCAGTGTGAAGGACACATGTATAAATTCTTGATCTCAGGCCCGCCCCCCTCTTTGCAAACCCCACCCACTTAAGACTTCGAACCACATTACTTTTATGACCTCCAGACACCTTTTTCCCGCGTTTTAAAGCGCACCTGAAAAGTCTTAATAATTTTGATGTAAGCCCCACCCACTTCAGTGCCAATCCCGCGCAGTTCTGGGATCTGACCACATTTGTTCTACTATATCATACCACTTTTTTCCCGCATCTCAGAACATTTCCGTATATAGTTACAAATTTTTAATCTAAGCTCCGCCCACTTTAGTGCCAACCACGCCCACTTTGAGGATTTGACCACATTCGCTATTTTACCCCTTACCACTTTCCTGCCGCATCCCGGAACGTTTTCGAACAGAGTTATAAATTTTTGATCTGAGCTCCGCCCACTTTAGTGCCATTTAAGTGCCAACCACGCCCACTTCTGGGATTTGACCACATTTGTTCCATTACCTCTAACCACTTTTTTCCCGCACTCTAAAACGTTTCCAAGCAAAGTTGCGTTCATTTTTGAAAAGTGGCTTTCGTCTCAACGCACGCCCCGCCCATCGTGGGCGGGGCTTCGCTAAGCTTACGCATGCCCAACACGCATGAAGCCCTGCTCACTTTTCTTCTTTTTTTCCTGACCTCTGCGCCTTAATTGAATCGAGTTATGAATACATTTGAAAAGTACCGCCTATTTTGGGAAAGCTCCGCCCACAGCACGTGGGTCTCCTCCTTCTGGTTTGNTAGAAAGGGTCAAAAAAGAGGTGGAAAGGGGGTTGGACGAGTTCACATTGGAAGAAGGGCGGTTAAGGGAGTGTTCGGGCGAATGCACGAAGGCGATGCAATGTCTGCAATAGCAGACAACACACCCAATTTGCCTGAAAATCTGACTGGCAGACTCTGGCAATTTGCCAACCAGCTTATCAATTTTTCACGAACTTCGCTCCAATGCGAAAGTGGTGAACGGCAATTAGATTTCGTAGTTAGCCTAGCGAGGGACGGAGGGCGACCGTGGCTCTTTCTCCGGCCCCTTATTGTGCCCTATCCAAACCGTTTCCGACCTCATTCCTGCACAAATGGTATCAGAGGGGGCGTCGAATTCAAATCATGTGCAAATCTCCAAAACCATTTTTTCGTGAACAGTGCCTTTAACATTTACGTTTAGTTTCACGATAGGGGAATCGTGCACCAGAAATGGAAAATAGAAAGCAGAATCCATGCGCGGCAGAATACTAAACAATTCAAACCGCAAATCCCTGCACAATTAAAACGTGTCCACCAGTGGCTGCTTTCATAGTCCGCCTGCGTGCCATCCGAGGTAGTGCTAAGGGAGAGGAGACAGAGAGTCGGTCGACGCGATCGCGCCGCGCCCCCTCGGAAGGGCTGAAAACAAAGAACAGCAAGATCAAAAACCAAATAACCAGGGGCTTATGCAAATGGTTTTTGATCTTGTTTTTCTTTGTTTTCATGCCTTGAAGAGGCTTGGGCGCGACGCGACCGAGTCGACAGACTGTCTGCCTCCCTCCTCCCACCTTAGCACTACCTCGGCTGGCACGCAGGCGGACTATGAAAGCAGCCAGTGGGCTGCGTCGCGCGCGACGTGTTTGGCGTAACCCAGTTTCGGCGACGGTAGGAACGGTAGCGCATCCCTCTCCATCTATCCTTTCGTCGAAGCGGCGCAGTACAATCGGTGTCGAGTAGAGTGTAGTACGGGCGGCTGCATCGAAGGTAAATGGTGTGGTTGCATAAGTATAGCAGTGATGGATTATGGTGAATGGAGTGGAATATCATACCAACAGGCAGCTACGCACGCTATCGCGCGCTAAGGGCTCTGGCCATATGGACGGAGCCACATAATCTTCTGATTCTCACTTGAGACCTCTATTATCACTGGTCCTCTTCCCTGACACTTCTGTAGCGGCCATCATTTTTTTGGGATGTGAAGTGGGGCTGTGTTTCCGGAAGGTTTCTGAAAAGAGTTATAAGTTCCTGTCTAAGCCCCGCACACTTTAGTGCCAACACCGCCCACTTCGAATATTTGGCCACATTTGTTCCATTACCTTCATTCACTTTTTTCTCGCATTCTAGAACGATTCCAAGCAAAGTTGCATTCATTTTTGAAAGTGGCTTTTGTCTCAACGCCCGCCCCACCCATCGTGAACGGCGCTTCGCTAAGCTTACGCATGCCCAGCACGAGTAAGGCCTGCTCACTCTATTTATTTCTTTTGCTGGCCTCTGCGCCTTAATTGAATTGAGTTATGAATACACCTGAAGAGTACCGCCCTCTTTGAGAAAGCTCCGCCCACAGCATGTGGGTCTCCTCCGCCTGGTTTGTTGACCCCATCCTCACCTTTGAACATTTTTCCCCGCTGTCTGGACTTTTTCGAAGCAAAAATAAGATAACCCATTATCGACCAAACTTGTGGATTATGTATAGTATGGATGGAAAATTACTCGTCTAGTCTGAAAAATAGGTTAAATGCCGAAGGTATTTTTGGTAAAAAGAAGATTATCTGCCCATGAAGCCTATCCTCTCTCCTCTCTCAGTTGGCTGCGAATGGACAGATGAAACGTCCATAGTAAAAGGATGTAGCATGACGGCAAATAGCCAGGAAAACGCTTGGTGCATAAGTTGATATTGATATTTTTTTAGTTGATATTTCCCATCTTGAATGATCTGATGCATGCCATTTTGTTGATATTGATCTCTTGACACTATTAGGTGATCTCCATTCCAACCTCCTCTAGTTCCTAAGGGTTTGATTTTCCTGCGTCGTGGGAGGCGAGTTGTGATTTTTAGTCTGTGTCGTCATAAAAAGACTGAATATTAATCAACGGACCAATATAAAGAGCATCGCTTGGTTTCCATGTCATAACTGTTTTCTCATTGCGCTCACGTGACCTACACGCTCTTGATCCTGCCTACGTGGCTTGGGAGGACACACAAACGGGCATACAAACGGACACACACAAAGTTAGCGCTTTATATTGGGTTGTCCGAAAAGTTCCCGCCGATTTTCGACGCCCCGGATTTATCAACTGTTGTGCAAAAGATGAAGGACCCAACCTCATAAGTTATACGTATTCTGAAAGAGTAGGTCCTCCTCTATATTCCTGTTGTAATTCTGTCGACATTTGTCGGAGTTTGTCTGTACAGGACTCGTGTGAAAATGGAGAACCACTGCGC